CCCCCTTCCCCTTCCCCCTCCCCCCGTTGACTCCGCCCGCTACTAGTCCGGCGGGCGGGGGTGGGGCCCATTTCCTCAGTGGTCGCGGCTTGGTTGACGCTTGGTCTGCGTCCGCGTCAGCCGCAGCCCAGCGTGTGATGCAGCACGTCGACAGCAACCCGACCGCCATGGAGGCTGACGAGAAGATCAAATGCCTTCAGGAGTTCCCGGAACATCATAAAATGATCCTGGACCGATTAAATGAACAGCGACAGCAGGATCGGTTTACTGACATCACCCTGATTGTCGAGGGACACCATTTTAAGGCCCACAAGGCTATTTTGGCTGCTTGCAGTAAGTTCTTCTACAATTTCTTTCAGGAGTTTACTCAGGAAACTTTGGTGGAGATAGAAGGTGTTAGTAAAATGGCCTTCCATCATTTAATTGAGTTCGCATACACAGCAAAATTAATGATACAAGGAGAAGAAGAAGCCAATGAGGTATGGAAAGCAGCAGAGTTCCTACAAATGCTAGAAGCTATCAAAGCCCTTGAAGTCAGGAACAAAGAAAACTCCGCTCCACTAGAGGAAAATACCACAGGAAAAAGTGAGGCAAAAAAAAGAAAGATTGCAGAAACTTCAAATGTTATCACTGAGTCATTGCCCTCTGCAGAATCAGAACCTGTTGAAATTGAGGTGGAGATTGCTGAAGGCATAATTGAAGTGGAAGATGAAGGCATCGAAACGTTGGAGGAAGTGGCTTCTGCCAAGCAGTCCATAAAGTACATTCAGAGCACAGGGTCCTCTGATGATTCTGCCCTGGCACTTTTGGCAGATACTACCAGCAAGTCCCGGCGAGGTGATAGAAAAGGGCAGATAAAAGAAGATGGTTGTGCATCTGACCCCACAAGCAAACAGGTAGAAGGTATTGAAATTGTGGAACTTCAGCTGTCACATGTGAAGAACTTGTTCCTTTGTGAGAAATGTAACCGTTCATATAAATTGTTTTACCATTATAAGGAACACATGAAATCACACTCCACTGACAGTTTCAAGTGTGAAATATGCAATAAAAGGTATCTTCGGGAGAGCGCATGGAAACAGCACCTCAACAGTTACCACCTCGAAGAAGGTGGAGTCAGTAAGAAGCAAAGAACTAGGAAAAAAATTCACATATGTCAATACTGTGAGAAACAGTTTGACCACTTTGGACATTTTAAAGAGCATCTTCGAAAACATACAGGTGAAAAACCTTTTGAATGTCCAAATTGTCATGAACGATTTGCTAGAAATAGCACCCTCAAATGTCATCTGACTGCATGCCAGACTGGAGTACGGGCAAAAAAGGGAAGAAAGAAGCTTTATGAATGCCAGGTCTGTAACAGTGTGTTTAACAGCTGGGACCAGTTCAAAGATCATTTGTTAATACNACACACTGGAGATAAACCCAACCATTGTACTTTATGTGACTTGTGGTTTATGCAAGAAAATGAATTAAGGATGCATCTCAGTGATACTCACAATATTTCAGAGTGTCTAGTAACTGAAGAAGTTCTTTCAGTAGAAACACGTGTGCAAACTGAACCTGTGACGTCAATGGCTATTATAGAACAAGTTGGGAAGGTGCATGTGTTACCATTGCTTCAGATTCAGGTGGATTCAACACAAATGACTGTGAAACAGGTCCCTCCTGATCTGCTCCAGGACAGCCAAGTGCATGATTCACATATGAGTGATCTTCCAGAGCAGGTCCAGGTGAGTTATCTAGAAGTGGGTCAAATTCAGACTGAAGAAGGTACTGAAGTACACGTGGAGGAGCTGCACGTCGAGCAGGTAAATCAGTTGCCAGTAGAAGTACAGACTGAACTTCTAGAAGCCGACTTGGAACAAGTGACCCTTGAAATCATGAACCAGGAGGAGAGAGAGCCCACCCAAGCAGATTGCACTGAGGCTGGCAGGGAAGATCGCAAAGATGCTGATGGTTTAGAGACCAAATCAACAGTGGATTCCCGAGCTGAAAGGGCAGGGAATGAGAACAGAACACCTATGCCTGTTTTAGAATGAAATAACAAATGAATATATTTTTAAATTTGTGTGTTGGGTTTTTGAACTGATGATGGGCAGTGTGACTGTCCTTGGGCTAACAGACAAGTGGACCAAAGGTAAAGTCTTTCCTGTTGTGAACTGTTTCTGTTGAAACAGATTTCTCCCCACTTAATGCCACAGAGGAGATATCTTTCCCATAAGTGAATGGGAAGCTTTGAGAAGTATTATTTCTGGAAACTTAAATGGATTATATTCTCACTATATAGTTGGGTACAAATGTATCTATTTTCATTGTGATAAGGGTTCTCCCTTCTCTCTTTCCCAGGTCATGTTCTTTCTCGGATTTATTCCATGTTGTAAAATCAAACATAAAATCATTAGAATACAAATTGATGTATTCTAATGCATGTTAGAAAATTGAATATATAGGAAACACAAGGCTGCCTGAAGAAAAGTACACTGTTACTGTGCAGTTAAATTTTTGGCTTCTGGCTTTCTTTAGTTTGAACAATCTTCTTGTCTTTACTGATAGTCATGGATGTCATCTCTGCAACAGGAACAGAGTGGTGGTGGCAAAATTTCT